ATGTGTGAAAACCTGGTGGCCAACTACAAGAAACGTCTGACCTCTATGATTGCCAACAAGGGTTTTGCCACCAAGTACTAAGTCATGTTTTGCAGAGGGGTCAAATACTTATTTCCCTCATTAAAATGCAAATCAATTTATAACATTTTTTACATGTGTTTTCTAGATTTTATTGTTGTTATTCTGTCTCTCACTGTTCAAATAAACCTACCATTAAAATTATAGACTGATCATGTCTTTGTCAGTGGGCAAACGTACAAAATCAGCAGGGGATCAAATACTTTTTTCCCTCACTGTATAACCTATATACTTATTATGGACACAGTATGCTTACATTATTAGTTATCTTGTTGTTATTAGTTGTTATTAGTCCCATCCTTCAACTCCATTCAACACCACCCACCTATCTCTTAACACCATCCATATTGGATTTCTATTTGCCATATATTTTTCAACTGTACTGTGATGTTTTACAAAAAAGTTCTGAACCTTTCTATTCTCATTGTTTCTACAGATTGTAAATAAACATTTTTGCTAAAAGTATTATTATATTATTGATCGATTGACTTTGACTTTTCAGATCACCCAGTAATGCTATCTGCAGGTTTAGCTCCAGGTAAATATTGCAATCCTTTAGCCATTCCTGGACCTGTGTCCAAAAACAAGCTACAAATGGACAGTACCAAAACAAATGATCTAATGATTCTGTTTCTTCGCAGCAAAATCTGCAGAGCTGGGAAGATTGTATCCCTCATATAAATAACATTCTATTGGTAGCAACATTTTTATATAATCATTGAAAGTTTTGAATCCGGCGTCATTTTGCGTATCAGTTCATAAACACTATGCCATGGGATCGGTACGTCAAAAACCTCTTCCCAACTATTTTGCAATCCATATGGGACGGCTGTCAATCCTTTGGTCCTTAAATTAAACTGGTATACTTTGTTATTTATCAAAGTTTTCTTTAATCAATTATGTTCTTTAATGCAAGGCCGACAGACAAGTTCCTTACATTTTCCCCCTTCCACTTTCCTCTTCCATTTTTGCGGTAATGTTGCAATTATTTGGTTGTAATTTTGGGTAGAGCAGACATTTCCATATGTTTTTGTTAGCTCCATGTGCGACATAACTCCACCAGTCCTACCGATGATATCATTTACGAAGATTATACCTCGATTAGTATATTTGAGTTTTACCACAATATTTGTTGCATTATTTGTTCTGTTGTTTCTGGAGGATTAAATTGAAATTGCAACCAACTTTCTATGGCTTGTTTTAGAAATAGTGATATTTGGGAGATTATTTCCTTTTCAAATAACTGAAAGTGTGAGGTTGTAATCTGAATAAAGGGAAAAAGGCCATTCTTGAACATTGGGTGAGACAATCTTACTAATTTGCTAGAGAACCAGTTCGGATTTAAGTACACTGCTCAAAAAAATAAAGGGAACACTTAAACAACACAATGTAACTCCAAGTCAATCACACTTCTGTGAAATCAAACTGTCCACTTAGGAAGCAACACTGATTGACAATACATTTCACATGCTGTTGTGCAAATGGAATAGACAACAGGTGGAAACTATAGGCAATTAGCAAGACACCCCCAATAAAGGACTGGTTTTGCAGGTGGTGACCACAGACCACTTCTCAGGTCCTATGCTTCCTGGCTGATGTTTTGGTCACTTTTGAATGCTGGCGGTGCTTTCACTCTAGTGGTAGCATGAGACGGAGTCTACAACCCACACAATTGGCTCAGGTAGTGCAGCTCATCCAGGATGGCACATCAATGCGAGCTGTGGCAAGAAGGTTTGCTGTGTCTGTCAGCGTAGTGTCCAGAGCATGGAGGTGCTACCAGGAGACAGGCCAGTACATCAGGAGACGTGGAGGAGGCCGTAGGAGGGCAACAACCCAGCAGCAGGACTGCTACCTCCGCCTTTGTGCAAGGAGGAGCAGGAGGAGCACTGCCAGAGCCCTGCAAAATGACCTCCAGCAGGCCACAAATGTGCATGCGTCTGCTCAAACGGTCAGCAACAGACTCCATGAGGGTGGTATGAGGGCCTGACGTCCACAGGTGGGGGTTGTGCTTACAGCCCAACACCGTGCAGGACGTTTGGCATTTGCCAGAGAACACCAAGATTGGCAAATTCGCCACTGGCGCCCTGTGCTCTTCACAGATGAAAGCAGGTTCACACTGAGCACATGTGACAGACATGACAGAGTCTGGAGACACCGTGGAGAACGTTCTGCTGCCTGCAACATCCTCCAGCATGACCGGTTTGGCGATGGGTCAGTCATGGTGTGGGGTGGCATTTCTTTGGGGGGCCGCACAGCCCTCCATGTGCTCGCCAGAGGTAGCCTGACTGCCATTAGGTACCGAGATGAGATCCTCAGACCCCTTGTGAGACCATATGCTGGTGCGGTTGGCCCTGGGTTCCTCCTAATGCAAGACAATGCTAGACCTCATGTGGCTGGAGTGTGTCAGCAGTTCCTGCAAGAGGAAGGCATTGATGCTATGGACTGGCCCGCCCGTTCCCCAGATCTGAATCCAATTGAGCACATCTGGGACATCACGTCTCGCTCCATCCACCAACGCCACGTTGCACCACAGACTGTCCAGGAGTTGGCGGATGCTTTAGTCCAGGTCTGGGAGGAGATCCCTCAGGAGACCATCCGCCACCTCATCAGGAGCATGCCCAGGCGTTGTAGGGAGGTCATACAGGCACGTGGAGGCCACACACACTACTGAGCCTCATTTTGACTTGTTTTAAGCACATTACATCAAAGTTGGATCAGCCTGTAGTGTGGTTTTCCACTTTAACTTCGAGGGTGACTCCAAATCCAGACCTCCATGGGTTGATACATTTGATTTCCATTGATCATTTTTGTGTGATTTTGTTGTCAGCACATTCAACTATGTAAAGAAAAAAGTATTTAATACGATTATTTCATTCATTCAGATCTAGGATGTGTTATTTTAGTGTTCCCTTTATTTTTTTTAGCAGTGTATAACTTTTGTATGATTGAAGCTTTTAGTGATAGGTCTAATGCTTTAATATTTAATCATTTCTGTCCTCCGAATTCATATTCATTATATAAATAGGCCCGTTTAATTTTGTCTGGCTTGCCGTTCCAAATAAAATGATTGATATAATGATGATATAATATAACTGTTCGCTAGGCGTAGGCAAGAACATAAGCAAATAGGTAAACTGAGATAATACTAAAGAGTTAATCAAGGTGATTGTTCCACAAATTGACAGGTATTTACCTTTCCATGGTAGCAAGATCTTATCTATTTTTGCTAACTTTCTATTCAAATGTATTGGAGTGAGATCATTTATTTCATTTGGGATATGTATTCCATCAGACCATTTTATTGGTAAACTACATGGTAATGTAATTTTTTTACTTTTTAGCAATCCAATACGTAATATATAGTACATTTTTCATAATTTGGTTGTAATCCAGAGAGGTTAGAAAATTTATCTAGATCCTCTATGAGGCTGTGGAGGGATTCTAGTTGTGGATTTAAAAGAAAACATGAATCATCAGTGTACAATGACACTTTTGTTTTTAAGCCCTGGATTTCTAATCCTTTGATATTATTGTTGGATCTGATTTTAATAGCTAACATCTCGATGGCCATAATAAATAGATATGACGATAGTGGACAACCTTGTTTCACTCCTCTTGACAGTTTAAAACTTTAGGAGAAATAGCCATTATTTACTATTTTACACCTAGGGTTATTATACATGATTTTAACCCATTTTATAAGAGATTCTCCAAAATTGAAATGCTCCAGGCATTTATATATAAACCCCAGTCGTACTTTCTCAAATGCCTTTTCGAAGTCTGCTATGAATAGCAGGCCTGGTTTCCCAGATTTTACATAGTGTTCTATTGTTTCCAGTACTTGCCTTATATTATCTCCAATGTATCTTCCATGTAAAAAACCTAACTGATTAGAATGAATAATGTCCGACATTACCTTTTTAATTATATGAGCTATACCTGAACATTTTACTTCACTTCAAATAATGAGCCATGTCTTACCTTGTGAAAATCCATTCATAGAAATGTGGAGGCAATTTTTTTATAAAGACATCCTCATGCCATCAACCAGCATTTCTCTGCTGTTCTATTAGTTTTCATATCAACTTTCTTTCATTGTCCAGAAGCCAAAGGCACAATCCTAGTCATATTAGCAACCCATCATAGTAGTTGCTATTAGATACCCACTCTTTCTAAGTTTCTTACAGAGATTTTCATCTCTGTCACATACACTATTGCTCGCATTAGGTGCGCAGTTTAGAATTGTGTTTTCTGCAAATTGCATTTGGGCAAATGTTTGAAAATTATGTTTTATTAGCTGCTTCATTACAGGACATGCTATAGCCTTTTGACTGTAAGTCGACAGGCTTGCTATTGCTGCATGTTTCCATTAAGCTCTTAATGAAAAATGTCAGGTCCTTATATGCAGAGAGGAAGAGGCGAAGCGAGAAGTTGAACTCTCGCCAAAATCTGTCCAAAATAAGTCCAATGCGTTTCTATGGGCTAATTCTGGGCCTATGCTGGGCCTTCCCGCCTTGGGACGACTCCCATTGTTAGGGCGGAAACATAAGCATCTCGTCATTATATACAGACCTCTGATAGTATTTTCTGTTGGTCACATCATTTTACTATATATTTTTTTTTTAACAGTTTGTTGACCGTTAATGAGGCTCAGTTAGTCGGCAGCAAAATTGAACGAAATTTGCATCCCTAGTATGTTTACACAGAAGAAACATTGAGCTAGCACTTACGTACATTAGGACTAAATCCTCACCCCTGCTGATGTGATGTTGACACATTAGTTCCTCATTAAAGGGGGTCAGCTGGAGAAGCGGTTTGACATTAGCCCTTCTCCTAATGCAGAATGCACTATGACTTCCCACATAGCTGTGATAGGCAGCCATACTGGCTCTTCATATTAAGGATCAAAAGAAGAGGCTTACTTTTGCAAACTGGATAGCAAACAGCTTCTTGTATTTGAGGTCCATGAGAAGGCTGCTCATAAAGAGCTGGTGGTAGACATTCCTGGCTCCTGGAGTGGAAATTGGGTGTTAGAGTCAGAACAGTGTTCATGGAAGTGTTGTTTATGTTTTATGTGCATTGCAGGAGACAGGGTTGGGGGTCGGTCAATGCCGTCCTAATTCAGTAAAATCTTAAAGTGAATTAAAATAAAAAAATCTATGAGATTTTTTTAAAATTATTGAGTGAAATTAAAATGGAATTGTTCCCAAACCTGGCAGAAGAACTAAAAGGATGCATTTCCTCCTCACCTTTCCACATCTTGGAGTCACAGAGCATGAGTGTGTCCACCAGGGAGGAGTTCTCTCCCTCTGGCCCCCTCTCCAGGCCCACCTGACACAGGATCCTCCTCAGAGCATCTACACACACACACACACAACTACTGTCAATGGGCCCTTGCGCAAACGCGGGTTTCCCCCCCAATGAACCATTTATGAGTGGCATTTAATAAAATATTGTGTTAAGTTCTTTATATTTCAAGAGGATACGGAGAATAGAATCCAACGGCAGGTAGACAATACTCAAGTTAATAGTCAGGAGAGCGGAAGGAGACTGACCTGAGTATCCTATTACGTGGCCCAGCCAGTGGAGGGCTTTGAGAGCGAAGCACTGGTGAGCCACCACCGAGGAGTGCATTACCTGGACCCGCAAGGGCTTGGACTGACGACTCGTGTTCCTCTGCACACGCACACACACACACTGATTAATATATAGACTCTTGAAAAATGACTGTTAACGGTTTAATTGGTGGCAGCGGTGGGATGCGGGTATCTGTCATCTCATGAGATTTCAATGAGATACATCCAGCTCCCCAGACCAGGCTACTCACCACAATGACTGACTTGGCCTGCTCACAGAACGCGAAGTCGCCAAAGCGCACCGATTTCCTTCCCTGTATAGTAGGAGATACAAAATAATGATTACACACATATCAAGCCATTAGTCATTGATGCCGTAGGTTTGCAGGTTACACACACACGACTCACATCTCTGTCTACTGTTGTGGCGAAGCTGACTGCTTCTTTCTGGGTGCAGTTGACCGCCTTCTGGAGGGTGTAGATGACTTGCTCGTATGTGTGCACCTCGTCATTGAAGAGCATGCAGTAATAGGTGTCACTTCGGTCTCTGAGAAATAAAAAGACAGACAGACATGAAATGTCAACTGGCTATAGATTGAAATCATCGGGTTGTCATGACGACCAGCAAGAACGTGAAAACTGATCAGAAATTACTTCCTGTGTGTATACGTACGGAGGCTCCAGGCCCGGGGGCAGCTCGTCCTCCTTGTCCCAGGTCAGCATGTCCACGGCATATTTCAGAACAATGGAGAAGACATTATAGCAGCGGGCAATCATGTCTGTTGAGAGGTAGGCCAGGGGATCCTGCAAATAGACAATGAAATAATGTTGTGATCAGCCAAATATAACTATGGGAGTGTCGAACTCAAACGATGATTAAATCTAATGAAATAGCCTATTTTAAAGTGGCAATTAGCAATCTGTAACAACTTGTAACGCAATATTGAGTGTAAGAGCAACAGCAGTGAATGAACTGTGTATTGTTATTGGATGTCAATGAGACGTGATATAGCTGGGGCTAAGAGATGCTCACCTCCTGACAGGAGTCACTGATGTTGGGCTCATGTTTCTGACAGTAAGGGCCCTTCTTCCAGGCCTCTGTGTCTCCACAGTCACAGAATCCCCCTCCCCCGGAGGTTGTCATCTGGAGGGCAGACGAGATGTGAGGCAAGTCAACACTTGTGTACACACACACAGTAATATGCAGCAGACAGAGAAGCTTCTGGATCATTTACATTTGGAAGACGACAACAACTAGAACCTTCTACATAAACTGTAACAGACATACGTACATCTGCTGCCCGGAACTAGAATGTTCTACAATGCTCTAGAACACAAACACAAGTAAGAAAGACCAGAATGCATGAGTCAGCATTCAAGGTCAAATTTGCCATGGATCAATTCACGCTACCCCCAACCTTAACCGTTAATAGGACTAAAACTATATATCTGACCCTGTATCAGTGCTTAGGGGCAACTTGTACCTACTTCTGGGTAAAAAGAGCTGAGGAGCCTAGGTGCACCCATCCTGAGGCCCACATGGCAGCAGTGGCCAGCCCCAAATGGGATTAGCCTGCCTGATCCTCAGCCTGGATTCAGAGCAGCTACTGAGTGACCCGTCTCATGGCAATCACCCACTCACTTACTCATTCCACGACAGCGCCTCTACTGAAACCTAGCCATAGTTTAGGCTGCTAGTCTGCTAATACTGAACCATTTTGTGTGTGGTGGAGGTTGCATTGTCGTTCTTACCCTGTAGCGATGTTCTTTATGCACACTGCCCAGGAAACACTGCATACACAGCACACAGGTGGGGTCTGCAGCACATTCCCTGCAGGAGAGAGTTTGATTGTGAGTGAGGCAGGAGGGACAGCCAGTGTCTAACATTGTCTTCCAACGTTCCATCAGGTCATGTCTTGATCCCATGTTAACATGACCCGGTGACCATGTTACTCAAAGCCAATACAAAAGGAGGAGTTCAGGAAAAATGAAAACAGCAATACTCATGGAATGGATGTACAATTAGGCTATGCAGTACAATAAGCATGGGTATGCATCGCAATGGTTTTCCATTGAACACACAATTGAGTGTAAGGAATTGACTAGTATTGGCAAGCTGATCCTGTAAACAGAAGTGACCTCGACCTTATCCAGACAGTACCGCTTACCAGGAAGCTTACGGTTTGACCTCTGTGACTTAACACAGGACCAACCTGACCCAATTCACCTGGCCAACTCACAGGAAAGGACAGCTAGTATGTGAGTGTGCGCGCGTCTCCGTCTGTCTGAATGAGACCTCAACTACCCCCACCTGCATGAGTAGGTGGGCTCTCCCACTTTGAAGACATGTCCACAGAGCTGTGAGGGCTGGTTGTTCTGCTCGAGCTTGGCCAGGCCCGTGGAGGGGTCCTCCCCACAAAGGTACCACTCCAGAGGGGCCTGCAGCAGCATCTGGGCCAGCAGGTCCTCACTCTGGGGGTTCAGGTTGGGCCCCAGGCAGTAGATCTTTGGGACATAGCGGGCCAGGTGCTGGTACACCTCCTTGTACAGATCAGTCACCTGGAGCCATTTCTGTGTAGAGGGGGGCAACAGTGAGACGTGAATATTATAACAAACCAGTTATTAGACTTTCAGACTTGAGGGCATGTGGCATGTGTGAACACAGTCCAGGTCCAACTTGTACGAATTTGACCTAGTTACAGCGCCTTCTGAAAGTATTCACACTCCTTGTTTTTTCCACACATTTTGTTGTGTTACAGCCTGAATTTAAAATGGAATACATTTAGATTTTTGTCGTCACTGGCCTACACATAATGTCAAAGTAGAATTATGTGTTCCTACATTTTCACAAACTAATTTAAAGAATGAAAAGCTGAAATGTCTTGAGTCAATAAGTATTCAACCCCTTAGTTATGGCAAGCCTAAACATGTTCAGGAGTAAAAATGTGCTTAACAATTCACATTAACTCTGTGTGCAATAATAGTGTTTAACATGATTTTTTGAATGACTCATGTGGTCCTCTGTAGCTCAATTGGTAGAGCATGGCGCTTGTAACGCCAGGGTAGTGGGTTCGATCCCCGGGACCACCCATACGTAAAAATGTATGTGCACATGACTAAGTCGCTTTGGATAAAAGTGTCTGCTAAATGGCATATTATTATTATCTAAACTCAGCAAAAAAAAAGAAACGTCCTCTCACTGTCAACTGCGTTTATTTTCAGCAAACTTAACATGTGTAAATATTTGTATGAACATAACAAGATTCAACAACTGAGACAAACTGAACATGTGACTAACATAAATTGAATAATGTGTCCCTGAACAAAGGGGGGGGGGGGGGGTCAAAATCAAAAGTAACTGTCAGTATCTGGTGTGGCCACCAGCTGCATTAAGTACTGCAGTGCATCGCCTCATGGACTGCACCAGATTTGCCAGTTCTTGCTGTGAGATGTTACCCCACTCCTCCACCAAGGCACCTGCAAGTTCCCGGACATTTCTGGGGGGGGGAATGGCCCTAGCCCTCACCCTCCGATCCAACAGGTCCCAGACGTGCTCAATGGGATTGAGATCCGGGCTCTTTGCTGGCCATGGCAGAGCCCTGACATTCCGGTCTTGACGGATCCTCCACCCCGCTCCAGAGTACAGGCCTCGTGTGTAACACTCATTCCTTCGACGATAAACCCAAATCCAACCATCACCCTTGGTGAGACAAAACCGCGACTCGTCAGTGAAGAGCACTTTTTGCCAGTCCTGTCTGGTCCAGCGACGGTGGGTTTGTGCCCATAGGCTTTCTGATTTCAAAATCATATCGCGGGAAAGCCTTTGAAGAAACTACAGTTGTCACTGTTGAAGACAGGTACTCTGCTTTCTGTAGGTATAATTTGTATTTCTCCTCTCAATATTGAGCTCTGTAGCAAGTACCTATTTTACCACTGAGATATTTGATATAGCTTTAGGAAGAGCGTGCAAAATGTGCATCTGCCATTGTGAGTGCGCATAGGCCTCATTTTGTAAAACTGCAACGTTTTGTAGGACATTGAATTTACTGTTAGAAGAATACATGGCTACCAGCAGTGGGTATTATAGAGTTCCAGACAGTGACCAAAATACCCTTTGACTTGGCAGTGCAACAGCGATTTTTAATTGGTCACCAGGGTGGTAGTAAAAAAAAAAAAAAAAAGGTAGCTGGTCACGTTAGTTTAGTCAGAGAGGAAGAGGTGAAGCGAGAGGGTCCACACCCGTCAATCTGTCCACTAATGGTTATCATAGAAAGAATGTAGCCAGCTACATTCCCTAATGTTTTGCTTAAAGTTAATCTTGCATTTTACTGGAGAAAAGTAGGCTACACAGAAAAAAGTAGCTGATAGGATGCCTGTTTGTGAATTCTCAGAGTGGAGAAGTGCAACTGAAGCACAAGATTTGTCTGATGCCGAGCAGAAATTAAACTAAGAAGCATTTTAGATCTGAGTTTCCAAAGATATTTCTTATGCGTTCTCTTTTTAGTTTTTGTGTGAAAAACACAGAATTCTGTGTTAATGCAACCCCTGAGACCATCTCGTCATTATATACAGTACCTCTGAATTACAGTCAATGAAGTAGACCAGACCCAGCTGCTACAGCACTGGTATTTATGGGAGAGCCACCCCCTTAAGCAGAACTGACCATTTTTTTCAATGGTAAACAGCCTGAGTGAATTTCTGATTGAAAAAGGACCAAGTCTGGCTATCAGCACAGCCGATGTTCCCTTATAACGCGAGAGCACCGTGCCTGCTCCACTTACTCATTGCTAGCTCTAGCATGTCCTGAGGAACCACTGCACTCTCTGGGCTGCATCATGTTAGCTCCCTACAGAAGTTAAGAGACTTGAATAATGCACCGCAGCATGTAGGAAATTGCAACTGTTAATTACAGGTCGCAAAACAATGTCCATTACAGGCTAGAACACTTTACAATGTTAGAAGATACCGGTAGCTTCCAGCGTTGTAGGCCAACTTTCCTTACTAACTTACAGCTGAAGCTAACATCAATTCACTACCCTAGTACTTTGTAGTGCTGTCACGATTCTAACATTTTACTAACGATACCAGGCCAAGTATCACGATACCGAGGAATATCTCAATACCACGGGGGGACAAATTCAGTGGCCTAGCATCCTGTTCACCCCGTCCCCCGGATGCTTGTTCCCGTTTATAAACGTTATACACACGTGCTACACAAAACACTGTAACTGATATTCACACTTTTACTCAACACAACACCAATTGAATTTAACTTCACACTGTATAATAGAATACTGCATAGAATGGCTGATTTGCTCATATTTGCAAAGGCCTAACTGTGATTTGTCTGGAGGAATTAATATACATGCATAAGGGGAAAACACTGCATGAAACCTTCTTCACTTCAGTTAACACACACACTCACTCTCGGTCTCCCTCTCTCTCTCACACAAACACTGCTCCCAGCTTTAAAAACATTAGGCACCAAACATAATTTAAGGAGTACCAGAAATATAGTTTAGGTTTACTTTTGGCCTATATGAATCGTACTTTTGAAGCACATCTCATGAGCAGAAGACCCCTTTCCTTTCTTCCTGAGCCAATCAAATTTGCCTAGACCTACTGTCAAGTTAGCAGGTTGTAAGCTAGCTAGGTAACATGACTGAACAACGTTTGTTATCAAACCAATAATTAGCGACCTGAGATTAGTTTAAAAACAGCCCGCGGCATGGTTTGTGAAATTATATAAAATGTGTGCAAAATCGCTCAGGAAGAAAAAAGGTAGCTTCAGTAATACAGTGGGGGAAAAAAGTATTTAGTCAGCCACCAATTGTGCAAGTTCTCCCACTTAAAAAGATAAGAGAGGCCTGTAATTTTCATCATAGGTACACGTCAACTATGACAGACAAATTGAGAATGGAAGACATACAAGACCACTGATAATCTCCCTCGATCTGGGGCTCCACGCAAGATCTCACCCCGTGGGGTCAAAATGATCACAAGAACGGTGAGCAAAAATCCCAGAACCACACGGGGGGACCTAGTGAATGACCTGCAGAGAGCTGGGACCAAAGTAACAAAGCCTACCATCAGTAACACACTACGCCGCCAGGGACTCAAATCCTGCAGTGCGAGACGTGTCCCCCTGCTTAAGCCAGTACATGTAAAGGCCCGTCTGAAGTTTGCTAGAGTGCATTTGGATGATCCAGAAGAGGATTGGGAGAATGTCATATGGTCAGATGAAACCAAAATATAACTTTTTGGTAAAAACTCAACTCGTCGTGTTTGGAGGACAAAGAATGCTGAGTTGCATCAAAAGAACACCATACCTACTGTGAAGCATGGGGGTGGAAACATCATGCTTTGGGGCTGTTTTTCTGCAAAGGGACCAGGACGACTGATCCGTGTAAAGGAAAGAATGAATGGGGCCATGTATCGTGAGATTTTGAGTGAAAACCTCCTTCCATCAGCAAGGGCATTGAAGATGAAACGTGGCTGGGTCTTTCAGCATGACAATGATCCCAAATACACCGCCCGGGCAACGAAGGAGTGGCTTCGTAAGAAGCATTTCAAGGTCCTGGAGTGGCCTAGCCAGTCTCCAGATCTCAACCCCATAGAAAATCTTTGGAGGGAGTTGAAAGTCTGTGTTGCCCAGCGACAGCCCCCAAACATCACTGCTCTAGAGGAGATCTGCATGGAGGAATGGGCCAAAATACCAGCAACAGTGTGTGAAAACCTTGTGAAGACTTACAGAAAACGTTTGACCTGTGTCATTGCCAACAAAGGGTATATAACAAAGTATTGAGAAACTTTTGTTATTGACCAAATACTTATTTTCCACCATAATTTGCAAATAAATTCATTACAAATCCTACAATGTGATTTTCTGGATTTTTTTTTCTCATTTTGTCTGTCATAGTTGACGTGTACCTATGATGAAAATTACAGGCCTCTCATCTTTTTATGTGGGAGAACTTGCACAATTGGTGGCTGACTAAATACTTTTTTTCCCCACTGTATGGGTCATATTTTTTTTTTACCCGTTTGGGCTAGAGAGATGCCATTCTTTGCTTTAAAGCTGCAAGCATGCCTGTCGCGAAGCTGTGCTCCATTTTCCTCTCACTCAGAGGCTGCGTGACAGCGAACGTGCAACTGCAAAGCCTACTCAGACTGGCCTGTGCTCTTGGTTATACCAGGCAATGAAATTATACAAAGTATCAACTTTGCTCGCACTGCTCCAACGTATAAAATGTAGAAATGTAACAGAAGACTTATTAGAGTCTGTATCTCCGCTTGTGTTTCGGAGGACGCATGACTCGACCTTCGTCTCCCGAGCCCGTTGTGGAGTTGCAGCAATGAGACAAGATTGAAATTGGGGAGAAAAAGGGGGCAAAATACAATAAAAAATATTTAAATAATTATCCCTTCGTCTCTCTCACTGCAGTGCTTATCCTATATTATTTTAGCAACGGCATGCCGCCAATACAAAAAAAGTACAATAAAAAAATGTTTTGCATAGTTTTCGGGATTGTAGAACATTTTCAGTGTGAACTTAAACGACTAAAACCAGATATAAAGTATGTAGAAAAGATAATGGAGTAATATATTTTTAAAATAAGATCAGAATAAAAACTAGTCAGAGAGAATCTAACATTTCAAAAAAATGTCATGTCATTGGTCCCCCATTGATTGTGAAGTCACTCAGATAGCATAAGAAACATGACATAGTCCATGGCAAAATGTGTAGAATTGCAGGAAATTTGCTTTAAAAATGTCAAATGTGCTTTCCGCCTCATGACACCGCGTGGCGCAGTGGTCTAGGCAACTGATCGCAGGCTAGCTGTGCCACTAGAGATCCTGAGTTGAATCCAGGCTCTGTCGTAGCCGGCCGTGACCGGGAGACCAATGGGGCGCGCACAATTGCCCAGCTCGTCTAGAGTAAGGGGAGGGGAATGGCCGGCAGGGATGTAGCTCAGTTGTTAGAGGCAGGCGTTTGCAAGCCAGGGATGTGGGGTTTCGATTCCCACGGGGGTATGAAAATGAAAAAATAAAATTAAAAAAATAATAATAATGTAAGTCGCTCTAAGAGCGTCTGCTAAATGACGTAAATGTAAATGTAAATGTAAACGTAGCCTACATATCAATACATACACACAAACTATCTAGGTCAAATAGGAGAGAGGTGTTGCTTTATCTGTTTTTTTTAAACCAGGTTTGCTGTTTATTTTAGCAATATGAGATGGAACGGAGTTCCATGCAACAATGGCTCTATATAATACTGTACACTTTCTTGAACTTGTTCTGGATTTGGGGACTGTGAAAAGACCTCCTGGCAGCATGTCTGGTGGGGTAAGTGTGTGTGTCAGAGTTGTGTCTAAATTGACTATGCAAACAATTTGGGATTTTCAACAACATTGTTTCTTATAAAAAGAAGAATTGATGCAGTCAGTCTGTCCTCAACTCTTAGCCAAGAGAGACTGGCATGCATAGTATTTATATCAGTCCTCTGATTACACTGAAGAGCAAGACGTGCCGCTCTGTTCTGGGCCAGCTGCAGCTTAACTAGGTCTTTCCTTGCAGCACACAACCGCACGACTGGACAATAAACGATAAGACAAAACTAGAGCCTGCAGAACTTGTGGTGTCAAAAAAGCAGTGCCCAACCTCACTAACGCTCATGGCTGAATGGAAGCAAGTCCCCCAGCAATAATCCAAACATCTAGTAGAAAGCCTTCCCAGAAGAGTGGAGGCTGTTTAAGCTTCAACTCCATGTTAATACCCATGATTTTGGAATGAAATGTTCGACGAGCAGGTGTCCACATTATTTTGGTCATGTAGTGTAGTTACATGAGAAAACATGTAATGTAACATCGTATACGGTCCCCTGGGAAACACTGACCAACACTTTGGATCCTACCCTGTCACAATAATTCCTCCCTGGCTTAGTCATTTGTTGTCATGTCAAACAACAATGTATTCAAAGTGCTGCCCACTATATTCCAACTATTGAAATACAATAATAATTATATTTCCATGATTCCAACAGTTCACCAATAAACTAGGCCTAGATTGTTTGCCCATAATGCATATCTATAATGCAGCCCTACGTGGCAGTGTGGAAATGATAACAAAAGTGCAGGAAACGCAGAAATTGATGAAAATACTCAAAAGTAGATCGAACAGTATAAAACAATCAGAATGGAGAAAGCCCCATTGAAATCACTTCATTTGTGTGTTGCCACACTAGAGTAGAGTCCCATACTAGTCATATTTAGAACTTAAGCATATTTGGAACTTTTATTATTTAAAACCATAGTTAAAATAACGGCAAATACAATCATACATTTGAAAGATATCGCCCAGCACTAATGTTACGGGGTTTTGGTTAGCAAGCTTGCCAGGATCGCTACTGCTGTGTTAGCTATGGAGTTAACAACAGCAGCAGCAACAACAACAACAACAGCAACAACAGCAACAACAGCAGCAGCAGAGACGAGCAAATTAATATTGTTTTGTCTGCCAAGTGAACAGCTAGCTTTTGCTAGCTAGCTCAGAAAAACACTAGCTAGTTACCGGTAGCTAGCTAGCTAAAGTTTTTTTAAAATATATAATCCTGGACACATCTCTCAATATAAAATATCTGGTATATTATCACATCCAATCATTCTTACATTTATGCTGTTCCATATATTAGCTAAAATGCAATTTTCTAGAAGGCTAGTTAACGCTAGCTAGCTAGTAAGCGTTCGCCAAGTTCCCGTACTGTTAGCGAGGCCATCATCGCATCGAAGAAAAACAAATCGAGATGGAAAAATAGGGAAATAAATATGATAGATGAAATTGGTGCGCTCTGATCCCTTTGATAAGAAAAATTACATCAAATATATACACATATGAAAACTGTCGCTTACCGAAGCTGTGTCTTTGACAGAGAAATTCAGGAATTCAGTACACAGCGCAGACGGTACTTCACGATCAGATTCGGCCGCCGCCATCTTCACTCCCTCTCCCAGTGTCGAAGGAAACGGATATCAGCCGTTGCTTAGTAGCGCGAGCGAGAGAGTTGGGGAACTTTTAAGCTGACTAATGGGAAATGAGAGGCTGTGTACGATCAACGCTGACACAACTGGGTCAGGGAAAGCCAACCTAGGTTACTTTTTTTCTAAGATGCACTGGGGACATGAGACACGGCTGTAGTTGTAAAATCAGAATCGTTCAAAGGGTGAATAATGATGATGAGGATAATGATGCTGCTGCTGATGGTGATGATGATGATGATGTTGTTGTGATGATGATGATGAGGCTGATGATAATTGTAGTGACATACTCCATAAAGTAATTGCAAAAGGGCATATGTGCAATAGCTTTATTTACACTGTACAATAATAATATTGAGATTGTATAGACAGACTGCCAGACATTAGTGGACCATTGCTAATTCACATTTAAAGCCAGCATCATAATCTAAGCTTCATCCTTATTTCCTGGTCCTGTATCTCTGGTTGCTGGTGCTGGTGCAGTCTCTGTGGTTACAGTCATCTTCAGCATCGAGGAGTCAGCCTGTTGAGGCCCTGGAGGACTGGAGATTACAACACTAATGAGTTCAAAGTAAACAGGTCAAATTAGACAGACTTCTGAGACACACTGTGGCCATCTGCAGAGTGCACCATGCAATTACAGGCTTACAACAAAGAGACACTACAGAAAACCAAGATGCATAAACCAGTGATACCTCACCTGTATGGTGGAGCTTCGACGGTCTCTGACCCAGTGCTTTCTGCTGCCTTCACACCACAGCCCACGCCTGCACAGAGACACAATAATGTAATCTATCAGCTATGGACAGACAGGAGACTGTGAAACATATACTCTAGCACAGATATACACAGAAGAAACAGGCACAGAGACAGGTTAACATAGTAGGCCTAATATAAATATAATTAATGTAGTGCAGTTTGACGAGGTCAAAGACTAAACAGAGAGTAAACTCCATAGATTATATTTCTATGGTAGGCCTTCTCTTATTTAAATGATGTCAGTACGAATTACGTCATCATGTGTAAAGACTCAGATTTTAGCTCTCTATATATGCACTCTCTCTGGTTTTGAATGGACTTTACTCTTTGTTTAGTCTTTGACCCAGTCAGACTGCACTAGACTAGTTATCTGGTCTGTCTTAGTATATAGGCCCTATACAGAAGGTTCTCTGTGAGGTCAACCTAGTACTAACATGAGCTGGTCTGGGACTGGATCAGTTGGTGGATCAGGGCCTGCTGCAGGATCTTCATGTCTGCCCTCAGGGCACTGAGGTCTGGTTCTGCTGGGTCTGGTCCATCTGGAGCCTCTGCAGAGTCTGTAGGTGTTCCCCCTGCACAGGGGATGAGAAGCGCCTCCCCCTAGGATAGACAAGAAGAGATAGATCTTGGCACACGCCTGGAAATATTCCACAATACAGCGAAGCTGTGTCATACTCCTAAATTCAGGTAAAAGAGAGGCAGTGCTGTGCCTACTTTGAGCCCCTGTCACTCTCATCAGATCTTCCTTGTTCTGAGCGATTCACTTCGTTTTGCATCTCCAGGAACTCATCTAGGGTCTCCTGAAGTGTCGGAACAAGTAAAAAAGCATGTTTAAGAGAAACAAGCACTCTCCCTCCCTGAGCTTAACCACCCACAGGCAGACACAGATATATACAGACGTACAGTTCAAATGCAGGTGTTAAAGATTGTGTACCATCCTGTCACCTTGATCTGAGTGGTGATCGTCTTCATCTCTGCATGCCGCTTTGGGTCAGTTCTGATGTCATCATCGTAAAACTCCCCAAGCGAGGCACAGAAGCGGTGGATGTGCTGGTCATCATAGAAACGGCAGAGACGGGGCATGGATTCCTCCACCTGCAGGATAATGGCTGCTTGCTGCATCACTGCATTGGCCAGTGCATTGTTATACACCCTGACAGAAGAGATACATGCACACAGTGAGTGTGATACACTCATTCATACTGATGCTGAGAGTGACAGATGCATACTGAGTGATATGTTTGTTTGTTGAGAGTGAGACAAACACTTATACCTGATGTAGACAAACAATATACCGTACTTGAGTGAGTACATGACTGTAAGCTCATAAGAATGGCGCCGGAGAAGATGGCTGCCGTTTTACAGCCCCCTGGTCTAAGGCACTCTAGTGGCACAGTTGGCGGCGGAGAAGATGGCTGCCGTTTTACAGCCCCCTGGTCTAAGGATCTCTAGTGGCACAGTTAGCACTGCGAAGCAGTGCCTTAGAACAGGGGGCTGTAAAACGGCAGCCATCTTCTCCGGCGCCATTCTTATGAGCTTACAGTCATGTACTCACTCAAGTACGGTATATTGTTGATAATGACTAAAATGTAAAATGTAATGTAAATGTAACCAATTGTACTATTATGTGTGTTTTCCGCGTTATTTGTATTTTATTTTGTACATAATGTTTCTGCCATCGTCTCTTATAACCAAAAAGAGCTTCTGGATATCAGGACAGCGATTACTCACCTCGTATTGGACGAAGATTTTTTCTTCAACGAGGCGGCCGCGAAGGATATCCTACAGACACCCGACAAGGCCCAAATCCACGTCATTCGCATGAGAAAGAGACGGAGATATCGTGGACATACAGTGGGGAAAAAAAGTATTTAGTCAGCCACCAATTGTGCAAGTTCTCCCACTTAAAAAGATGAGAGAGGCCTGTAATTTTCATCATAGGTAAACGTCAACTATGACAGACAAAATGAGAAGAAAAAAAATCCAGAAAATCACATTGTAGGATTTGTAATGCATTTATTTGCAAATTATGGTGGAAAATAAGTATTTGGTCAATAACAAAAGTTTCTCAATACTATGTTATATACCCTTTGTTGGCAATGACACAGGTCAAACGTTTTCTGTAAGTCTTCACAAGGTTTTCACACACTGTTGCTGGTATTTTGGCCCATTCCTCCATGCAGATCTCCTCTAGAGCAGTGATGTTTTGGGGCTGTCGCTGGGCAACACGGACTTTCAACTCCCTCCAAAGATTTTCTATGGGGTTGAGATCTGGAGACTGGCTAGGCCACTCCAGGACCTTGAAATGCTTCTTACGAAGCCACTCCTTCGTTGCCCGGGCGGTGTGTTTGGGATCATTGCCATGCTGAAAGACCCAGCCACATTTCATCTTCAATGCCCTTGCTGATGGAAGGAGGTTTTCACTCAAAATCTCACGATACATGGCTCCATTCATTCTTTCCTTTACACGGATCAGTCGTCCTGGTCCCTTTGCAGAAAAACAGCCCCAAAGCATGATGTTTCCACCCCCATGCTTCACAGTAGGTATGGTGTTCTTTGGATGCAACTCAGCATTCTTTGTCCTCCAAACACGACGAGTTGAGTTTTTACCAAAAAGTTATATTTTGGTTTCATCTGACCATATGACATTCTCCCAATCCTCTTCTGGATCATCCAAATGCACTCTAGCAAACTTCAGACGGGCCTGGACATGTACTGGCTTAAGCAGGGGGACACGTCTGGCACTGCAGGATTTGAGTCCCTGGCGGCGTAGTGTGTTACTGATGGTAGGCTTTGTTACTTTGGTCCCAGCTCTCTGCAGGTCATTCACTAGGTCCCCCAGCGTGGTTCTGGGATTTTTGCTCACCGTTCTTGTGATCATTTTGACCCCACGGGGTGAGATCTTGCGTGGAGCCCCAGATCGAGGGTGATTATCAGTGGTCTTGTATGTCTTCCATTTCCTAATAATTGCTCCCACAGTTGATTTCTTCAAACCAAGCTGCTTACCTATTGCAGATTCAGTCTTCCCAGCCTGGTGCAGGTCTACAATTTTGTTTCTGGTGTCCTTTGACAGCTCTTTGGTCTTGGCCATAGTGGAGTTTGGAGTGTGACTGTTTGAGGTTGTGGACAGGTGTCTTTTATACTGATAACAAGTTCAAACAGGTGCCATTAATACAGGTAAAGAGTGGAGGACAGAGGAGCCTCTTAAAGAAGAAGTTACAGGTCTGTGAGAGCCAGAAATCTTGCTTGTTTATAGGTGACCAAATACTTATTTCCCACCATAATTTGCAAATAAATTCATTAAAAATCCTACAATGTGATTTTCTGGAATTTTTCTCAATTTGTCTGTCATAGTTGACGTGTAACTATGATGAAAATTACAGGCCTCTCTCATATTTTTAAGTGGGAGAACTTGCACAATTGGTGGCTGACTAAATACTTTTTTTCCCCACTGTAGGTCGGGGTGCCTTGTAAGGATCCGATGGCGAGCGAGTAAACTGCCTCTCCCATCAATCCTATTAGCCAATCTTCAATCGTTTGAGAATAAATTGGATCATCTAAGATTACGGTTATCCTACCAACGGGACATTAAAAACGGTAATATCTTATGTTTCACCGAGTCGTGGCTGAACGACGACATGGACAACATACAGCTAGCGGGCTATACGCTACATCGGCAGGATAGAACAGCTGACTCCGGTAAGACAAGGGGTGGCGGTCTGTGTATATTTGTAAACAACAGCTGGTGCACAAAATCAAATACTAAGGAAGTCTTGAGGTTTTGCTCGCCTGAGGTAGAGTATCTTATGATAAGCTGTAGACCACACTATTTACCAAGAGAGTTTTCATCTATATTTTTCATAGCTGTCTATTTACCACCACAAACCAATGCTGGCATTAAGATTGCACTGAATGAGCTGTATAAGGCCATACGTGAACAGGAAAACGCTCATCCAGAGGCAGCGCTCCTAGTGGCCGGGGACTTTAATGCAGGGAAACTTACATCCGTTCTACCTAATTTCTACCAGCATGTTAAATGTGCAACCAGAGGGAAAAAAAACTCTAGACCACCTTTACTCCACACACAGAGACGCATACAAAGCTCTCCCTCGTCCTCCATTTGGCAAATCTGACCATAACTCTATCCTCCTGATTCCTGCTTATAAGCAAAAACTAAAGCAGGAAACACCAGTGACTAGGTTAATAAAAAAGTGGTCAGATGACGCAGATGCTAAGCTACAGGACTGTTTTGCTAGCACAGACTGGAACATGTTCCGGGATTCTTCAGATAGCATTGAGGAGTACACCACATCAGTCACTGGCTTCATCAATAAGTGCATCGATGATGTCGTCCCCACAGTGACTGTACGTACATACCCCAACCAGAAGCCATGGATTACAGGAAACATCCGCACTGAGCTAAAGGGTAGAGCTGCCGCTTTCAAGGAGCGGGACTCTAACCCGGACGCTTATAAGAAATCCCGTTATGCCCTCCGACGAACCATCAAACAGGCAAAGAGTCAATACAGGACTAAGATTGAATCGTACTACACCGGCTCTGACGCTCGTCGGATGTGGCAGGGCTTGAAAACTATTACAGACTACAAAGGGAAGCACAGCCGCGAGCTGCCCAGTGACACAAGACTTCCAGACGAGCTAAACCACTTCTATGCTCGCTTCGAGGCAAGCAACACTGAAGAATGCATGAGAGCACCAGCTGTTCCGGATGACTATGTGATCACGCTCTCCGTAGCTGATGTGAGTAAGACTTTTAAGCAAGTCAACATTCACAAGGCCGCAGGGCCAGACGGATTACCAGGACGTGTACTCCGAGCATGCGCTGACCAACTGGCAAGTGTCTTCACTGACATTTTCAACATGTCCCTGACTGAGTCTGTAATACCAACATGTTTCAAGCAGACCACCATAGTCCCCGTGCCCAAGGACACTAAGATAACCTGCCTAAATGACTACCGACCCGTAGCACTGACGTCTGTAGCCATGAAGTGCTTTGAAAGGCTGGTCATGGCTCACATCAACACCATTATCCCAGAAACCCTAGACCCACTCCAATTTGCATACCGCCCCAACAGATCCACAGATGATGCAATCTCTATTGCACTCCACACTGCCCTTTCCCACCTGGACAAGAGGAACACCTACATGAGAATGCTATTCATTGACTACAGCTCAGCATTCAACACCATAGTGCCCTCAAAGCTCATCATTAAGCTAAGGATCCTGGGACTAAACACCTCCCTCTGCAACTGGATCCTGGACTTCCTGACGTGCCGCCCCCAGGTGGTAAGGGTAGGTAACAACACATCTGCCACACTGATCCTCAACACAGGGGCCCCTCAGGGGTGCGTGCTCAGTCCCCTCCTGTACTCCCTGTTCAAATCAAATCAAATCAAATCAAATCAAATCAAATTTTATTGGTCACATGCGCCGAATACAACAGGTGCAGACATTACAGTGAAATGCTTACTTACAGCCCTTAACCAACAGTGCATTTATTTTAAACAAAAAAGTAAGAATAAAACAACAACAAAAAAGTGTTGAGAAAAAAAGAGCAGAAGTAAAAATAAAGTGACAGTAGGGAGGCTATATATACAATAGAATAAAGTGACAGTAGGGAGGCTATATATACAGGGGGGTACCGTTGCATAGTCAATGTGCGGGGGCACCGGCTAGTTGAGGTAGTTGAGGTAATATGTACATGTGGGTAGAGTTAAAGTGACTATGCATAAATACTTAACAGAGTAGCAGCAGCGTAAAAAGTATGGGGTGGGGGGGCAGTGCAAATAGTCCGGGTAGCCATGATTAGCTGTTCAGGAGTCTTATGGCTTGGGGGTAGAAGCTGTTGAGAAGTCTTTTGGACCTAGACTTGGCACTCCGGTACCGCTTGCCGTGCGGTAGCAGAGAGAACAGTCTATGACTAGGGTGACTGGAGTCTTTGACAATTTTGAGGGCCTTCCTCTGACACCGCCTGGTATAGAGGTCCTGGATGGCAGGGAGCTTTGCCCCTGTGATGTACTGGGCCGTACGCACTACCCTCTGTAGTGCCTTGCGGTCAGAGGCCAAGCAGTGGCCTCTGGAGACTGAAAAGATTTGGCATGGGTCCTCAGATCCTCAAAAAATTATACAGCTGCACCATCGAGAGCATCCTGACTGGTTGCATCACCGCCTGGTATGGCAACTGTTCTGCCTCCGACCGCAAGGCACTACAGAGGGTAGTGCGTAAGGCCCAGTACATCACTGGGACCAAGCTTCCTGCCATCCAGGACCTCTATACCAGGCGGTGTCAGAGGAAGGCCCTCAAAATTGTCAAAGACTCCAGCCACCCTAGTCATAGACTGTTCTCTCTGCTACCGCACGGCAAGCGGTACCGGAGTGCCAAGTCTAGGTCCAAAATACTTCTGAACAGCTTCTACCCCAAGCCATAAGACTCCTGAACAGCTAATCATGGCTACCCGGACTATTTGCACTGCCCCCCCCCACCCCCACCCCCCCACCCCATCTTTTTCCGCTGCTGCTACTCTGTTAATTATTTATGCATATTATTATTATTTATTTTTTTTCCACTTTAACTCTACCCACATGTACATATTACTTCAACTACCTCAACTAGCCGGTGCCCCCGCACATTGACTCTGCACCGGTACCCCCCTGTCTATATAGCCTCCCTACTGTTATTTTATTTTACTTCTGCTCTTTTTTTCTCAACACTTTCTTGTTGTTGTTTTATTTTACTTTTTTATTAAAAATAAATGCACTGTTGGTTAAGGGCTGTAGGTAAGCATTTCACTGTAATGTCTGCACCTGTTGTATTCGGCGCATGTGGCCAATAAAATTTGATTTGATTTGATTTGATTCGAAGCTGTAAAGGCTTATAGGCATACGGATCCCCTAGCTCACCAAATATAATTTTAGCGGCCCTTACCTTTGAAAGGTGTCCGAGAGGAGGGCAATCATCTGGTTGACACACAGAATGGAGGACAGAGCCAGGAAGGTGCCACAGAGGAAGTGGGCCATGATAGAGTCCACTTCAACAATGGCATTAAACTCGTACTCATCCACCAGAGTGATGCGGTACAGGCTGTAGAGCAGCTGGGGCACAGTCCGCATACTGGGTATTGACACCTGACCTGGGGAGGACAGTTCACACAGACTCAGACAGACTTACTGTAAATATATTTGTTTATGCATATTTTTTTTCATACTAGGACAGCTACAGTAGGGTATACTATCTCATATTGTGGGTATCTGTTTGATCAAATTTGTTGCCCAATTTACCTCCAAATATAATCCAGAAAGCACATGCATAAGGGATAAAGATCTCTGCATATAGGAAGAGGAAACGTAGGACATCCTCAATCTTCCCCAGCATGACAATGAAAGGACCCATAACGGCAGGTAGCTTAGTGGTTAAGAGCGTTGTGCCAGTAACCGAAAGGTTGCTGATTCTAATCCCCGAGCCGACTAGGTGAAAAATCTGTCGATGTGCCCTTGAGCAAGGCACTTAACCCTATTTGCTCCTGTAAATCGCTCTGGATAAGAGCATCTGCTAAATGACTAAAATGTAAATGTAATAACCCTGTACAAAATGAGGATGAAAGGTAGTGGTATTGGTGTAATGTTGTGGAATATGCAGAAGCAGGTGCAATGATTTTAAGATCAGCTGTATAAGTATTATGTGGGTCAGCATATTTGGCTACTTTATACTTGAAAATATCCAGACATGCTATTTCAAAAAAGTATCCTATTTTGGACATGAGGGCCATGACCATATTGGGGCCTATGAGCTCTAGTTCCTTTGTTGTCATGGCTACAGGGGGGGACAATGTAGCGCCCCATTCAGGTGTTGTTGTCATGGAACCTGAGAACATCATGTACCTATGAGGACGCTGACCAGGTGTCACTATTATACCTGAGCTACCCTATGAACAATATGCATTGCTATGAGAACCTAACACCGGTCCAGGTGATCTATTTAGCTATGTTTTCCCTTTTTTTGGTCCCTTCCATGATCCATTGGGGACCAAGGAACAGTCATGAATAGTGAAGTTCGGAAGTAAAGACTCATTAATCTCCACCAGATTGGTGCTCTAAAATGAAGGGATAGTGAGATCAAGTAAAGAAATGGTGCCAAAAAGAGGAATCTATTTAGTGGTTGCCAGTGTGGTCACCTGAAAGCTCAGACGTGCTTCATCAGCCGGAGCCAGAGGAAAATTATGACCACAGCGAAGAGGCGCAGGCTGTAGTCTCGCAGTGTGCCTGCCAGCAAGAAGATATCTGCCACATGGATCCCAAACACTGCCATCAGCAGAATGTACACCAGCCAATCAAAGATGTTCCTGTGACACAGCCAAAATCGATATCATTGCCTGCTTGCCAGTTAGTTAAATCATATCCATATGAGATGTATCGTGTAGAACACAAACATGTTTACCAGGGGTCTTGTAAGTAGTTTCCCTTCATGCAGTGGATGATCGTGATTTGCTCTTCCAATAATATTTTTTCCTTTGGAGCAGGAAGACAAAAAATGTAAAGAATATGTCATGTTGCACATTACATTCTCAGTGGGATTATAACAACCTGTAGCCTTACGAAGGGCATACTGCCAATAGGAGGACTCTCCTTAGATATTAATTCAGTTTAATTTGGTTAACTGTGTAAGCCTAGATCAGGTCTAGAAACTTCAATAAGATGTGTGTCTGTGTGTGTCTACTGGGTGAGAAAAGGTGCTGTACCTCGGGCCACATGGGGAGGCAGCGCAGGTCATCGTTGATCCGGCGTTCACATCACCGCTGCCTGCTCCTCAGCTTCCTCCTGGAGCCTATCATCTCCGCCACCTCCCGGCCCACCTCCAACACTGTCAGCCCCAGAGCCACCACTACCCCAAACACACGCCACCAGTCCTACAGGAAGATATACCTTTTATATTTATTTATTTGGATCCCCATTAGCTGTTACAATGGAGTCCACAATGACTTTATCAATGACTCATGAGCAATCCAAGCATGTCCAAGCATCTGTATGACCTGTAAAATAGTTGGGACCTTTATATTTTCATTTTGGATCCAAATGAAGGATTCAAATGTGTGTGAATCTTAAACATCACCCTTTTAATGTAGTTCTGAAGAGTCTATGTGAAAAAAAAAAGGGGGGAAAATTGTAATGTTCCCTCTCTCCTTCACTTTCTCACCTCAGGGAAAACATAAGGGTCCTTGTTTTCGGATGACAGACACAGAGATGGCCACGGTCGTCCAGGAGACGATAAACAGGAAGTCGAGGAGTAGTAGTATCCAATCCCCCAACCTACAGAGACACCAGTTTACTATTCCGAGTGAAATACTGAACCACCATTCAGTACTGTATTAACAGATCTGTTTAGCTATGTGTCTAACTGCGTGAATGGTCAGGGATATAGTGTATCTTATTTATGAGAGAGCAGGAGACTGGAGGGGGGCAAGAGGGGAGACAGAGCCCCTCTGACACACCTGCCTCTCTCTCTCTCTCTCTCTCTCTCTCTCTCTCTCTCTCTCTCTCTCTCTCTCTCTCTCTCTCTCTCTCTCTCTCTCTCTCTCTCTCTCTCTCTCTCTCTCTCTCTCTCTCTCTCTCTGTCTGTCTGTCTGTCTGTCTGTCTGTCTGTCTGTCTGTCTGTCTGTCTGTCTGATGAACTGACCAGCCATATAGTTTCCACTTGACAGTGATGAGCTTTAAAACCACAGGGTGCATGATGAGATCCAGCTTTCCCTGGTGCACTATGAACTCTAACTGTGGCGAGAGAGAGAAAAAACATCTCAGAGAATATTCCTACAGCAATTATCATCAAATTAGTTGACTCATTTGACAAATTTGACTCATACGTAGTCTTCCATTTTAGTTTTCATCTATTATCACTTTATTAGTCTGTTTAGCCTTAAAGAGGAGCACATACTGGTGATGTGTAGGCTCACTGGCCACTCTCTCTAGAAGACAAGAAAAGAGAAATTAGAGATGACAAAAAAGTTTACAGTTTAGGCGACGGTTGCATGGTTTGACCCACTGAGGTTCTGTGGAAAGAGTTTTCATTTATTTTACTGTTTAAACAGGTTACCTTGTGAGCCCTGTCCTTGCGGATTCTGCTTGCAGGGTGGCTCTGGCTCCAGCAGGTGGAGGTAGTAGAACTGCTGCCTGGTCATCCGGTCAGTCCCATGGAACTGGTTCAGCGCCAAATGAGCCTGACAAGACCAAAGAGAGCTAAACAAAGCTATAGGATGACCACATACAGAACCCACTAATTCACAACAACTAGCACATTGTCAGGCCAAACTATACAATTGGAGCTGTATACTGTAACTCATTGGGTCCGTGACCATCCAACCCTTATTTACCACTGAGGTTATCTTGTCAATCATGGTGGTGATGCAGAGTTGACCATCAGAGTCCTTCACCCCAGCATCTGCCCCCAGTACCATTAGCGTCCGTGCAGCCTCACTCCGGTCTGAATACACACAGGAGCACCACAAAAGCAATATGATCAGGTACAGTATAACTGTGTAATGTCCAATGTAGTTATTTGTAAGGTGAGGTTGAGGGCACGTTTCCATCTACAGATGGACAATCAATGCGTTGTTTTAGAATAGAATAAAACACAACTTTAATGTGAAATGCACTGAATCAACAGTGCACAAAGAGGCAAGTACAGATGTAGGATCTTAATTTGATCACTCTTTTGTTGCAGGAAATGCAAACTTTTTTAAAAGTGTATTTGAGTTTTTAAAAGGCTTCTAAAGTTTGTCATTTCCACTTTGAAATTTCAGACTTGATTTGCTCTAATGAAAAATGTATCAACCCCTACAAAAATGTCCCTTCATTATAATCCACATAGTAAGATGGTGCTGACAGACATGGAAGCGCTGCTTCTAGCTCCTGAGCAACTTTGCAATATTTAGTTTTTTTGTGTGTTATTTGTTACATTATTAGCCCAGAACCTGTTTTGTATTATTACATACAGCCAGAAATAACTTTTGGATATCAGAGCGGCGGTAACTGTCACGCCCTGGCTCTGGGGACTCTTTAATGTTGAGCCAGGGTGTGTAGTGTCTAAGTTGTATTTTCTATGTTTCATTCTAGTTCGTGTTTTCTATGTTGGCCAGGGTGGTTCCCAATCAGAGGCAGCTGATTCTCATTGTCTCTGATTGGGAACCATACTTAGGCAGCCGGTTGGCACTAGTTTATTGTGGGATCTTGTTCTGTATAGGTTTGTGTTGGTGAACCTGTAGACTTCACGTATCGTTTTGTTGTTTTGTTATTTGATGTATAGTACTCATTAAAAGATGTACGCCTATCACGCTGCGCCTTGGTCCGGTTCTTACGACGATCGTGACAGAAGATCCCACCAAAGAAGGACCAAGCAGCGTGTTCAGGAGCAAACACCGGGAAAGGAACTGGAGAAGTTGGCGATGTCCCAGGTGGGCGAATGGTGGTCTTGGGAGGACATGTTCGCGGGCAAAGGGCCATGGGCAAAAGTTAAAGCCCTGGCGAGAGAGGAGGTACGGCGCCTACCGTGCCGTCGTCGGACAGGCGAGAGGCAACCCCAAGTAATTTTTTGGGGGGGCACACGGCATGGACGACGGGGCTGCTGGAGGCAGCTACAGGGCGAGTTTGTGGACTAGGAGAGGAGGCCACCAGGTTACGGGGGCCATTGGTCATGAGGGGGAAGGAGAGTGTAGAGGCACGGCGAGAGGTACTGGGATGTGTTACCAGTCCAGTCCGGCCCGTTCCTGATCCCCGCACAAGGCCAGTGGTGTGTGTTCCCAGTACGGTCCGGCCTGTTCCTATCCCTCGCACCAAGCCTGTGGTGCGCGTCGCCAGCCCGGTCCGGCCTGTTCCTGCTCCCCGCACCAAGCCTGTGGTGCGCGTTGCCGGCCCGGTCCGGCCTGTTCCTGCTCCCCGCACCAAGCCTGTGGTGCGCGTTGCCGGCCCGGTCCGGCCTGTTCCCCGCACCAAGCCTGTGGTGCGCGTCGCCAGCCCGGTCCGGCCTGTTCCTGCTCCCCGCACCGAGCCGGTGGTGTACGTCGCCAGCCCGGTCCGGCCTGTTCCTGCTCCCCGCGCCGAGCCTGTGGTGCGCGTCGCCAGCCCGGTCCGGCCTGTTCCTGCTCCCCGCACCAAGCCAGTGGTGCGCGTCGTCAGCCCGGTCCGGCCTGTTCCTGCTCCCCGCACCAAGCCAGGGGTGCGCGTCGTCAGCCCGGTCCGGCCCGAGTCGCAAATCAAGGGCTCAGACACGAGACGTATGTGACAGGGTTTACAGTAAATCACGGATTACAAAGGGAAAACCAGCCACGTATCGGACACCGACGTCTTGCTCCCAAACAAGCTAAACACCTTCTTCACCCGTTTTGAGGATAACACAGTGCCACCGACGCGGCCCGCTCCCAAGGACTGTGGGCTTTTGTTCTCTGTGGCCGACGTGAGTAAGTCATTTAAGCGTGTTAACCCTCGCAAGGCTGCCGGCCCAGACAGCATTCCTAGCCGCATCCTCAGAGCATACGCAGGCCAGCTGGCTGGAGTGTTTACGGACATATTCAATCTTTCCCTATCCCAGTCTGCTGTCCCCACTTGCTTCAAGATGTCCACCATTGTTCCTGTACCCAAGAAAGCAAAGGTAACTGAACTAAATGACTATCGCCCCGTAGCACTCAATTCTGTCATCATGAAGTGCTTTAATAATAATAATATGCCATTTAGCAGACGCAAATATCCAAAGCGACTTACAGTCATGCGTGCATACATTTTTGTGAATGGGTGGTCCCGGGGATCGAACCCACTACCCTGGCGTTACAAGCGTCGTGCTCTACCAGCTGAGCTACAGAGGACCACCGCTTTGAGAGGCTAGTTTGAGAGGCTAGTTAAGGATTATATCACCTCCACCTTACCTGACACCCTAGACCCACTTCAATTTGCTTACCGCCCCAATAGATCCACAGACGATGCAATCGCCATCGCACTGCACACTGCCCTATCCCATCTAGACAAGAGGAATACCTTCGTCTGAATGCTATTCATTGACTATAGCTCAGCCTTCAACACCATAGTACCCTCCAAGCTCATCATTAAGCTCGGGACCCTGGGTCTGAACCCCACACTGTGCAACTGGGACCTGGACTTCCTGATGGGCCGCCCCAAGGTGTTGAAGGTAAGAAACAACACCTCCACTTCGCTGATCCTCAACACAGGGGCCCCACAAGCATGCATGCTCAGCTCCCTCCTGTACTCCCTGTTCACCCATGACTGCGTGGCCAGACATGCCTCCAACTCAATCATCAAGTTTGCAGACGAAACAACAGTAGTAGGCCTGATTACCAACAATGACGAGACAGCCTACAGGGAGGAGGTGAGGGCCCTGGCGGAGTGGTGCCAGGAAAATAACCTCTCCCTCAACGTCAACAAAACGAAGGAGCTGATCGTGGACTTCAGGAAACAGCAGAGGGAGCACGCCCCTATCCACATCGACGGGACCGTAGTAGAGAAGGTGGAAAGCTTCAAGTTCCTCGGCGTACACATCACTGACGATCTGAAATGGTCCACCCACACAGACAGTGTGATGAAGAAGGCGCAACAGTGCCTCTTCAACCTCAGGAGGCTGAAGAAATTCAGCTTGGCCCCTAAGACCCTCACAAACTTTTACAGATGCACAATTGAGAGCATCCTGTCGGGCTGTATCATCGCCTGGTACGGCAACTGCACAGCCCGCAACCACAGGGCTCTCCAGAGGGTGGTGCGGTCTGCCCAACACATCACTAGGGGCACACTGCCTGCCCTCCAGGACACCTACAGCACCCGATGTTATAGGAAGGCCAAAAAGATCAAGGACATCAACCACCCGAGCCACTTCCTGTTCACCCCGCTATCATCCAGAAGGCGAGGTCAGTACAGGTGAATCAAAGCTGGGACCGAGAGACTGAAAAACAGCTTCTATCTCAAGGCCTTCAGACTGTTAAATAGCCATCACTAGCCGGCTACCACCGGGCAACTCAGCCCTGCACCTTAAAGGCTGCTGCCTTATATACATAGACGTGGAATCACTGGCCACTTTAATAATGGAACACTAGTCACTTTAATAATGTTTACATACTGCTTTACTCTTCTCATATGTATATACTGTATTCTATTCTTCTGTATTTTAGTCAATGCCACTCCGACATTGCTCGTCCTAATATTTATATATTTATTTATTCCATTATTTTACTTTTAGATTTGTGTATTGTTGTGAATTATTAGATACTACTGCAATGTAGGAGCTAGGAACACAAGCATTTCGCTACACCCGCAATAACATCTGCTAAATATGTGTATGTGACCAATAACATTTTATTTTATTTTATTTGATTCCTGTTGTTGCAGGATTATTTTCCTCAAATTAAGATCCTACATCTGTAAGGGTAGTAGTACCTAGGTTGGCAGCCAGTTGTAGAGGGGTTCTCTTTTTGTAGTCTTGTGCGGAGATGTCTGCCCCATACTGCAGCAGCACCCTGAGTGCCCCCACCGTGTCGTTCTTAGCTGCGTAATGGAGAGGCGTCTGATGGTCCATGTTGGTCGTAGCACCAATGTCAGCTGAAGGGACGGGACATGCATATGTGATCTACAGTACAATACACATTAAAAGTACTCACACACATACAGTAAGTGGCACACACACGTTTGATCTCTGACATTTCCTCTACAACAGGAAGTGGATCATCTCCACATAGTCCAGAGCTGCAGCAACATGCAGAGGTCTGACCCCGTAGGAGTCAGGACGCAGAAAATCAGCCCCCCTCTCCAGGAAGAAATGCATCATGTCCACATTCCACGCCCTCGAGATCTACAACCAGGCAGAAGAACCCTGTTGAACACACACTGTCTGGAGGCCACTGAGAACGATCTGCCACAACAGGTATTTGAGTCATTTGATAACGTGTAAAGACTTAAGTCTCACCTCATGTAAGACAGTTTGTCCGAATCTGTCTGTTGAGTTGGGGTCGGCTCCATCTACGATCACATCATTCAGGTACTGAAAGTCTACCTATGAACAAACAGGATGAGTGATTGTTTGAATCATATCACCAGCCTTCAATCAGACCATATCTAATCTATATCTTAATCTATACCTTTAGCCCCAATTTACAATATAAAGGCAGAATGCCATCCACCCCTTACCTCATCAGTGTCCTGATTGCTGGAAGCCAGATCTCTGAAATGGTCCAGCAGACTTTTATTGAGGTTGAAGCTTTTATCTCCTCCATCCGCCAGGCCTTTGTACATGCTCTCAAAGAATTCCCCTTTAAACAAAAAGGTTATCGTACTGTATTATATCAATTTGAGACTAGAGAGTGAGTGAAACTTCCTTGAAGTAAAGGGCTGAGATACAGTGGAATGAACTGCAGTTGGCACCGGAAGTTGAATGGTTAAATCACTTGATATTGGCATGCAGGGGTTAGGCGGTTAGAGTAGTTTATCTGAATTGTCAGTTATTCTGTGAGTCGGTGGTGTCCAGTGTCCACTGAAAGAGTGCTGAGTATTTGAAGTCCTATCTGAGTTTGGTGTGTTATCTGCAATGGTACCTATGGGTTTTCTCCTCACACACTGAAGGCAGGCTAGTTTCCAGCGGCTGCAGGTGTAAGATGCCCACTGGGCATTTGCCCTCACAGCACTCGACACTGATGTCTTAGAGATCTGAGTTTCATCAACTGGCTGCCGTTCAGACTGCAGTGACACACATACAGTACATCACACTACAGTACATAGTACTGCATCATAGCATACTCAAATGTCCAATACTAAAATGTATCACCCAATAATAGCAAGTATAGTAACACACCACTCTATAATCATATACAGTTTGGAACTGAGTAGCGATGATTGAAAATGTGTTGAGAAGAGGGTTTCGGATTACTCTAGAAAGAAATGAAAAAATATAAACAAATAACCAGTGGTGGAAAAAGTACCCAATTGTCATACTTGACTAAATGTAAAGATACCTTAATAGAAAATGACTCAAGTAAAAGTGAAAGTCACCCAGTAAAATACTACTTGAGTAAAAGCCTAAAAGTATTTGGTTTTAAATATATTTAAGTATCAAAAGTAAATGTAATTGCTCAAATATACTTAAGTATCAAAAGTTAAAGTAAAAGTATAAATCATTTCAAATTCCTTATATCAAGCAAATCAGACGGCACCATTTTCTTGTTTATTTTATTTTATGGATAGCCAGAGGCCCACTCCAACATAATTTACAAACAAAGCATGTGTGTTTAGTGAGTCCGCCAGATCAGAGGCAGTAGGGATGACCAGGGATGTTCTCTTGATAAGTACGTGAATTTGACCATTTTCCTGTCCTGCTAAGCATTCAAAATGAGTACTTTTGGGTGTCAGGTCAAATGTATGGGAAGAAAGTACATTATTTCCTTTAGGAATGTAGTGAAGTAAAAGTAGTCAAAAATATAAATAGTAAAATGAAGTACAGATAACCCCACTGCAAATAACAACATTGAGAGGCTGATTGATTAAACTTCAAAGTGCCATTTTCTCCTCACCTGGTTGACCACTCCATCAGTCATCTCCATGGCAGGGTTGTCATGGCCAGGGGCACTAACCTGGTTCATCCTCCTCATCCTGCTGTGTTCCAGGCCTGAAGGCCTCTCTGTAAACAACTAACCACACAGCTTCAATATGACTGCGACCAGCCTGCCAGTGTAGGTACAGTACCTCTGCAATGAGCTGCTATTTCCAAACAAAGGCTTTCACTCAAAACACAGGGAGTTGGTAGATTCCGAGAGATTCTGAACCTGCTAAAGCCTTGTGATCCAGAGAGATAAGGAGTGGATTGTTGTTAGGCAGATAGAAGGAACGTCTTCTGCAGGCCCATTCACTGTTTCTCATTCAAGCTGTTTGTTTGCAAGTGAGAAGTGTTCCCTACCTGTATTACTGTACCTGAACAATATGGTACATTCTGACCCATGTCTGACACATGTGCTTGTTTTGCAACAGCCTAAACAGCCTTTATGTCATAAAGTTGACAGGCAATGACACTGACAAAGCAATGGTCTTATCTTCTAATGTTTAACAACATTGGAGTTTGTTTGAGCTGTTAACTCTGTGCATGTTTATGGATTCTTATCAGCTAATGTGTGCTCATTGCAGATGTATTTTAGCTTGTTAAGGTATATATAATCACCAAGTATGCATCCTGACACACATGTGGCCCCACTCTTGACAAACAACCAGTTTCATGCCTAGACATGCCTTCCAATGGTATTTTCATATCTATTTTTATCTTAGAAAAGGCCTCCAAAATGACAACTCCATGACTTGGCCACATGCAGCGACAGCTCAGAGCTGTCATTGTTTGACAGGACGTGGTCTCCATAGCAATGTGATTGACAGGTGCCACAATAATGTTATAAGAAGGGTGGATTGTTGAAGAGCTAAAGTCCACCCTAGGTCAACAAAGCAAGTGAAAAAAAGAAAGACTACAGACCATTGAGTTACATAAAGACTAAAAGAGTGGTCATCTGATAGAGCATGGCGCTTGCCACATCAGGCTAGTGGGTTCAATTCCCGGGACCACCGATACGTAAAATGTATGCACACATGACTGTATGTCGATTTGGATAAAGGCATTTGCTAAATGGCATATATCATTATATAAACACAGACAATAAACACAGATATAATTGTATTCTTATAACAAGGTTGTGATGTACAACGAACGCAGAGACAAGAATACAGTGTAATCCACTATATTGTCCAGTTAAAGCTGGATAACAGTTCTGTCTTTAAACAATGTGACTGAAGGCAATGAGGTCACTGCTTGAGAGTTTGTGATAGGTCAGGGCAAAGCTTTATTGAGTCTTTAAAACACATGATTGATTTTGCATTCCAATCCTTGGTACGGATTCCTGAGTGGCAGCATGCCTTCCTGTGGTCATAGAGTCAGCCAAACCAGTGGTTGCCCATACACTCCCTGTTCCACTCCACAAGACAGATCCAGCACCACTCAAACTTACACTGGGCAGGGGGGCACACCATGTGCATACAGCCCCCTGGGAACACAGTATAGAAACACAACATTACAGACAGGCAAGAAGGAGAAATCTATTATACAGTTTTGTTCCCACTGCAGAGGGTAGTGTTAAGGGCAAAATAAAAACGTAGCTATAGAACATAATGTGTATATATTGGAATAAGGATCAGAGAATGGATGGAGAGAGATGGAGGGATGGAGAAACAGAGTGCCTTACCACTCTTCTCCACTGGGACCTTGCAATGTGGACATGGGCGGGTGGTCTCATCTATAGTCTCCAGGGGGAAATGCTCCCACTGAGCCTGAAGAGCTGCCTCATCGTCCACTACATAACCCTGGGAGGGGGGGCAAGGGAGAGAATAAAGAGAGGCGAGACCGGGGGTGGGGGTGGAGAGAGACAGGGAGTATTTCTTGAGTGAATACAATGAATGGTGTGCAAAATGGTGCTTGATTTAGGATTGCCATCTTGTGGCATGTTTTAAAACTCAAGTCATACATAATGCATAAAATATCTCTAAATTCATATTTACTCACAACTCTGAATTATGAACTGTTACAAGCCATTACAAGTGTGTTTCAGAGCGTTCCCTCTTCAGTGTTGAGATACTAATGCTGGTTATGTCGACAGTAGGGGGGCAGCAGAGACAATGCATCAGTGAGCAGCACATAGCTGATTGGCTCAGTTACCTGCACAGCTCCTCCTGTGACAGGTGCTGACCTCACACAACATCTCCCCTCATGGAACCCCTCCTTACAGTCACAGCAGAACACAAACTCAAGGAGACACACAACACGTTGCCTGAATAACATTATCCATTTAGTCACACTGAAAACCTGAACTGGGATCCATCTTAATAGTCTATAGTGGCTCCCTTTCCTTTCCAATGGATGTCAGCCATGAATTTGCTTTCATCGTTCTAGTCCCATCACATCACTGCAGATGAGGGAAACGAGTCGTGGAGAGGAAGCCATCTTTGACTATTGAGATGCACCCCTGGTTTCAAGGCATCTAATGACCGGCTGCATTTTCTCTCACAGGTTGTATACAAGTTCCTAAGCTAGACACTGGGTGGTGCTATCTCTCTATGCTCCCCCACTAGCAGCAACCCAACCTGTATGTGAAAGTCTAGAAGATGCTTTGTATTTTTAGCTAGACTGCATCTTTTGGAGTGCAACAGTGATTTTGCACTTCATCGAAGGGGCTTGTTGTTGTTTTTTCCTTATATTATCTGCTGTTTTTAAGTGTGGCAGATAGCAGATCTCCTCTCAGGGTCTGGGTGACAGACACCTCTTTGTTTCCAAACTCCTGCATGGTGCCGCCTGTGATGAGACGAGGGGAGAAGAGGAGCGCTTCTGACGTTCTTTCCCAGTCTTCCCTCAATGAGCCTCCATCACCATCTTCGGCAGAAAATTCTGAACAGTCGCTTCATCAAACGCCCGTGGCGTCTTCGCAAAAATCTTGTCTGAGACACACAGCGATGTGCAGGACTCAACACTATACTAAACTGTAGCACAGTGACCTGACTTTTTAATGCTTTACTGCAACATTCACAGTAGCTTGCCTTTAGTCTCAATTCAGCAGAAGCGTCATATCACTATAACAAACTCAAATTGAAAACTGTTTGACGGCTAGAGCCTATCTACAAAAGCCTATGACCAGGGTTCTGTTCTTCCTGATCAGGTCACTTGGTCAGCAAAAAAAGACTAAGTCTTTTGTCTAGCTAAGTTGGGTTGGGTGGGGGGTGGGGGTGAGATTTGAGGGTTGGGTTGAGGGGTTGAGGGCTGGCCAGTGGGTGGGTTGCATGGATGGTACAGAGACAGAGCTGCCCAATGGAGTGTGGAAGACACATGAGTGGGTGTAGCAGGGCTCCGGTGGCTGATAAACCCATTTCCCCTCGCCTCCCTCCACTGAGCAACACAACGGATCACAGTACCCCAGACAGCACCCTCAGAGGACAAACATACACTGACACAAACAAATACATGGTCACACTAACAGGCCCTCACACACCAGCCCATTGGCCAGCTGGGTGTTTAGCCTTTGGTGATTGGAACACCCACCCACCCACTCAGCCACCCACTCAGCCACCCACTCAGCCACCCACACACACACACACCTGACTGACTGACATAGTTTTGTAGTGTAGGTTCAGGACACTGCAGAGTCTGTCTCAGTACAGAAGCATGTGGCACATGTGAAGGTTTACAGCTTACTGATGAAGTGCCAAAGTCATCCCTGACACCATTACTTTCTCTCCATCTCCCTCTTCATCACTCTCTCTCATAAGAAGAAAGCCTCTGACTCTCACACAATCACGTCACTCAAGACACAAGACATAAAAACACTCTCTTGCTGTACATCGGCTAACAAAAATTACACAGACACACAAAAGTCTCAAGGGAATATTGCATGATTATCTCTCTAACACGAACAGACACACACACACACACACAGACACACAGTATATGAACACCTACACACACCCTGCAGTTCTCCCTATCCACCCCTAAACCCCTCCACTGACTGAGTTCAGATTCTGTGCTGGGGCCTGTATAATCTCATCCCCCTCTAATTGCAACCGAGAGCCGGCTGGTGGACGAGTCGAGGACCTGCATGGTCCAGAGAGATAACCAGTCCTATTGCATGTTTACAGGTCGCCTCTCCTGACCACAGAGTCTATTTGAGCCTACGGCAGCAGCCGGGTCCGCCAGGGCCTATCTGAGTTGTACATCCTGCCAGAGCTGCAGCAGGTGGCTCCTAAAGCTCACAAACACTACCAGGGAGGACATAAAAAAGACAGGGACGGGGGCAGTATTGATTTATGTACAGTTCCAGTCAAAAGTTTGGACACACCTACACATTCAAGAGTTTTCTTTATTTTTACTATTTTCTACATTGTAGAATAATAGTGAAGACATCAAAACTATGAAATAACACATATGGAATCATGTACTAACCAAAAAAGTGTTTAACAAATCAAATTTTAGATTCTTCAAAGTAGCCACCCTTTGTCTTGATGACAGCTTTGCACACTCTTGGCATTCTCTCAACCAGCTTCATGAGGAATGTTTTTCCAACAGTCTTGAAGGAGTTCCCACATATGCTGAGCACTTGTTGGCTGCTTTTCCTTCACGCTGCGGTCCAATTCATCCCAAACAATCTCAATTGGGTTGAGGTTGGGTGATTGTGGAGGCCAGGTCATCTGATGCAGCACTCCATCACTCTCCTTGGTCAAATAGCCCTTACACAGCCTGGAGGTGTATTTTTGGATCATTGTCCTGTTGAAAAACAAATGATAGTCCCACTAAGCGCAAACCAGATGGGATGGTGTATCGCTACAGAATGCTGTGGTAGCCATGCTGGTTAAGTGTGCCTTGAATTCTAAATAAATCACAGACAGTGTCACCAGCAAAGCACCCCCACACCATCACACCTCCTCGTCCATGCTTCACGGTGGGAACTACACATGCGGAGATCATCCATTCACCTACTCTGCGTCTCACAAAGACACGGCAGTTGGAACCAAAAATCTCACATTTGGACTCATCAGACCAAAGGACAGATTTCCACCGGTCTAATGTCCATTGCTCGTGTTTCTTGGCCCAAGAAAGTCTCTTCTTCTTATTGGTGTCCTTTAGTAGTGGTTTCTTTACAGCAATTCGACCATGAAGGCCTGATTCACGCAGTCTCCTCTGAACAGTTGATGTTGAGATGTGTCTGTTATTTGAACTCTGTGAAGCATTTATTTGGGCTGCAAATTCTGAGGCTGGTAACTCTAATGAACTTATCCTCTGCAGCAGAGGTAACTCTGGGTCTTCCTTTCTGTAGCGGTCCTCATGAGAGCCAGTTTCATCATAGCGCTTGATGGTTTTTGCGACTGCACTTGAAGAAACTTTCAAAGTTCTTGAAAGTTTCTGTATTGACTGACCTTCATGTCTTAAAGTAATGGACTGTTGTTTCTCTTTGCTTATTTGAGCTGTTCTTGCCATAATATGGACTTGGTCTTTTACCAAATAGGGCTATCTTCTGTATACAGTGGCTTGCGAAAGTATTCACCCCCCTTGGCATTTTTCCTATTTTGTTGCCTTACAACCTGGAATTAAAATGGATTTTTTTGGGGGTTTGTATCATTTGATTTACACAACATGCCTACCACTTTGAAGTTGTGTGTGTGTGTGTGTGTATATATGTGCATGCATGCGTGTCTCACCATGCATCCCAAACCGTTGCTGAGCAGACACAGGATCATCCTTCTGTCGTCCTCAGGTATCAGGCCTCCTCCACAGCCAAGGGCTGGACACAACACTCCTCCCATCTGGAGTAGGCCCTCCTCTGCTGCATACCGCTGGTACTGCTTCTACTGATACACTCAGAGAGAGATTCAGTAGTTACTTCATTAGTTATCCAACTATTTATTAATTTCTGCTTTGGCAATACAGTATTTCATGTCTTTAAGTCTTTAAATGAGAGAAAGATATAAGAAGAGAGAGAGAGAGAGAGAGAGAGAGAGAAGCAGGTACACATTATACAGTTTATACACACAACCACAGACACAGCATTATGAATACTTTTGCAAGGCACTGTACCATCCCTACCTTGTCACAACACAACTGATTGGCTCAAACGCATTAAGGAAAGAAATTCCACAAATTAACTTTTAACAAGGCACACCTGTTAATTGAAATGTATTCCAGGTGACTACCTCATGAAGCTGGTTGAGAGAAGGCCAAGAGTGTGCAAAGCAGTCATCAAGGCAAAGGGTGGCTACTTTGAAGAATCTAAAATATAATTAGTTTAACACTTTTTTGGTTACTACATGATTCCATATGTGTTATTTCATAGTTTGGATGGATGTCTTCACTATTATTCCGTCTGGATTACTGCAACTCGCTGTTGGCTGGGCTCCCTGCCTGTGCCATTAAACCCCTACAACTCATCCAGAATGCCGCAGCCCGTCTGGTGTTCAACCTTCCCAAGTTCTCTCACGTCACCCCCCTCCTCCGCACACTCCACTGGCTTCCAGGTGAAGCTCGCATCCGTTACAAGACCATGGTGCTTGCCTATGGAGCAGTGAGGGGAACGGCACCTCCGTACCTTCAGGCTCTGATCAGTCCCTACACCCAGGCGAGGGCATTGCGTTCATCCACCTCTGGCCTGCTGGCTCCCCTTCCTCTGCGGAAGCATAGTTCCCGCTCAGCCCAGTCAAAGCTGTTCACTGCTCTGGCACCCCAATGGTGGAACAAGCTCCCTCACGACGCCAGGACAGCGGAGTCACTCACCACCTTCCGGAGACATTTGAAACCCCACCTCTTTAAGGAACACCTGGGATAGGATAAAGTAATCCTTCTACCCCCCCCCCCCCCCCCCCCCCCCCCCCCCCCCCCCAAAAAAAAAAAAGTATAATTGTAAAGTGGTTATCCCACTGGCTATAGGGTGAATGCACCAATTTGTAGTCGCTCTGGATAAGAGCGTCTGCTAAATGACTAAAATGTAAATGTAAATATTATTCTACAATGTAGAAAATAGTAAAAAATAAAGAAAAACCCTGGAATGAGTCGGTGTGTCCAAACTTTTGACTGATACTGTATGTGGAGTCTGTAAGAGAAGCCAGCTCACCAATATCCCACGGCCTTGAGCACATCAACCCCCCTGAAAGAGAACTGCATCTCGGAGAGTGTTAAAGTGATAGGACCCCCCTCTTATAGTAGCAGCCTGACACCTATAAAGGGTTTATCTGCTTCCCCCAGACCTCTGGATGGACTGGAATGCACGCGCGCGTTCATACACACACACAGCGACAAACACAGGCGCACACACACAAACTCTTTCTCTCTAGATCTCTTTCTCACTTTTAAAAACAGCAGTCTTGAGAGACAGATATCTCTTTAAAGGCAAGGAGACTCCTGTGGCTCCAATAAATGAATCTTGTTTCCTAAGCTAGGCTGCTGTTTCCATTAGTGGAGCCAGAGACAGAGAGAGAGAGACAGAGAAAGAAAAAGTGTGTGAGAGAGAGAGAGAGAGCCCTGTAATGACGTGTGTTGATGTTTGCAAACATGCAATCAGTCAGCACTAATGAATGGTGAACTACATCCTAATCTTTAATCGACTGGCTAATTAGAGAACATCATGCAAATTGTGTCATAATTACATCTTAATTGTATTATGATTGCATTTGCGTGATGGAGGGCAGGGAGGGGCGTTGCTGATGGAAACACCAATCCGAGAAGAGATAGGGAGGGGTCAAGGGTCAGGGTACCCAATCTAAATTAAGGGCAGTGAACAATAGTAGAAGAACATTCAGAGAGGGAGAGCTCTACATGTTTATTTAAATTGTTTTGTAAATACATTGTGAGTGTGTGTGTGTCTTTTCATGTGTTGTGTGGTTGCGTGTGTGTGTGTGTGTGTGTGTGTGTGTGTGTGTGTGTGTGTGTGTGTGTGTGTGTGTGCATGTAAATGCTCACGCGTGTGTGTATATATATATGCATGCATGCGTGTCTCACCATGCATCCCAAACCGTTGCTGAGCAGACACAGGATCATCCTTCTGTCGTCCTCAGGTATCAGGCCTCCTCCACAGCCAAGGGCTGGACACAACACTCCTCCCATCTGGAGTAGGCCCTCCTCTGCTGCATACCGCTGGTACTGCTTCTACTGATACACTCAGAGAGAGATTCAGTAGTTACTTCATTAGTTATCCAACTATTTATGAATTTCTGCTTTGGCAATACAGTATTTCATGTCTTTAAGTCTTTAAATGAGAGAAAGATATAAGAAGAGAGAGAGAGAGAGAGAGAGAGATAAAAGGTGCATTCATGCACAAGCAGGTACACATTATACAGTTCGTACACACAACCACAGCATTATTATGACCAGACACATAGTCATGCTAATTGTGTTTGTGACAAAGGCTAATTGCCTTCTTTAATGCATGCCTCAATTACATTTTAGTCATTTAGCAGATGCTCTTATCCAGAGCAACTTACAGTTAGTGAGTGCATACATTTTCATACTGGCCCCCCGTGGGAAACGAACCCACAACCCTGGCGTTGCAAGCGCCATGCTCTACCATCCAGTTCACACAACTTAAAGGGATACTTCAGGATTTTTTAAATGAAGCCCTTTATCTACTTCCCCAGAGTCAAATGAACTTGTGGATACCATTTTTATGTCCCTGCGTGCATTTTGTAGGAAGTTGTTAACTAGCATTAGCACAATTGCTAACTAGTGTAAGCGCAATGACTGGAATTCTATGGTAACTGCTATTATGCTAGTAGATACCATACACTTCCAGTCATTGCTCTAGATCTAGTTAGCATTGGCTCGCGAAACTACCTCTACATTTCTCCATACTGGATTCAGAGACATAAAAATGAGTTAATCTGACTCTCGTGAAGTATAAAGGGCTTCAATGCCAAAACCTCGAAGCATCCCTTTAAGCTTTCAGAATGGAGTGTTTCACTGAGTGATGGAGCCACAGGTCACCTTTAGAGTTGATTAAGTATTCAGATTTAGAATTCAAAGCCATGCCAATGACTCATGCAATAGAAGCATGGTTTCATTAGTTCATTATATTTATTATGGCAAACGTGATAATACTATGTTGGAGTAAATTGAAATAATGTTGAAGAAAGTGTGTTTGCCTGAAGAGTCTCAGGAGTGAATGGCAGAAAATAGAAAAACAGGCTTATGGTCATTTTTATTGGTGAGATATTTCAAAGAACACTACTTCCCAGTGGAAGTATAGAAGTGTTGAAGATCAGGATAGTATGGGGCCCTAAAATTCAAATCTGGACCTCGAAGCCAGTTCCACTGCTTTTTGTTTTTCATTCTTCCCCTCTAATCAGGGACTGATTTAGACCTGGGACACCAGGTGGTGCAATTAATTATCAGGTAGAACAGAAAAAAAACATCAGCTATGGACCTCGTAGGGTAAGATTTGAATACCCCTGGTATAGAGGGTGAATAAAGTGTATTGAGCGGTAGAGTGGAGAGAATTAGATGCTCCCTTTTAAAACCCTCTCGTCCACTCCGAGGAAGAGAATGACTCCTGCTCTCCCTGGCTGAGGGGTTGAGGGATGGATGGAGAGAGAGGTGTTGCTCCTTAGGCTGTTTGGAGCTGTGGCACCAGAGGATACAATTAAAGGAGTGTCAGATGTGACAATGTGACAGAGACCAGGGGCAGATTTCCCATGTGACCTGAGTGAGACAGGATGGCTGAGGTTGAGGCTGGGTGGAGGTAGAGGTAGGGATTCTAGTTTCCCTCTAGATAGGAGTTTGGGGTGGGGTTGTTTGTTTGTTTGGGTACACTGTTCATCACAGAGGGCCCAGAAGTGATGCAACTCCGTTATGAGAGAGTCTGGACAGCCAGCTAGAGACAAAAAGAGAGTGAAGAAAATTGGGAAAGAGAGAGAAAGAAAAAGAGAAGGGGAAGGAGATAGAAAGGGAGGAGAGAGATTGATCATCGTCAATGAGCAAAACAAACACTGTCATTTGTGCCACACAACACGTAGACACCCACACACTCATTGGAAAAAGGCGCCGTGTAAGACTCCATATCCAGCACAGGTCTAACTGTGAGAGACAAGGACCCTCATCACAGCCCAGAAATTCCCACGAGAAGCAGAGTAGTAGAACATCAATGGGATGTTGTGTCCTCCATATAGCTGTCCTCCATATAGCTGTCTTAAATCTACATAGGACAATCACACGCAGCAAATGGACTGTGACACAGGTGTGTGTATGTATGTGTGACCAACCAGGCGTGTGGGGTCCTCTATCCTCTTTTAACAAGCTGGGTATAATTATGTGGTCCCCTTCACAGGTAAATTGTGTGCTTTGGACCAAAGGCTTCTCCTTGGAACTACACAGCCAGGGGCGGAGCTTCAATGGGTGCCGCGTACCCATGGCAGCCAATGAGAGGGGCCCACAAGAACGTTTGTCATATTGCAAGAAATGGTCACAAGCAGAATACAATTCTATTATGATTTTGTTGTTGTTGATTTCTATATTTAGTTTACAAAATAGGTATTTTGGCATTGATAAGTAATATATATCTGCATTTGTTTAACACTAGAAAAGCCTGGCCTCGACGGACACCCCTTTGAGCCAATGATGAGTCTTTTGGATGTCAACATTCTAACAGTCTAATAAATACATTTCATAATGCAAACCCAAAAATAATAATTTAGTTGTGTTCATGAAGGTCTTAAGTAAGATTATAATACAAAATAAAATGTATGTTAAAGAACACAATAGCATTTTCTTCAGTTTGTGTAACTGTAGGCTATATGAACAAATGAAAAACCACTAAAACACCACAATTCAAGTATAATATAATATGCCATTTAGCAGACGCTTTTATCCAAAGCGATTTACAGTCATGCGTGCATACATTTTTACGTATGGGTGGTCCCGGGGATCGAATCTACTACCCTGGCGTTACAAGCGCCATGCTCTACCAATTGAGCTACAGAGGACCACAAGTGTTAAAATCTATTAAACAAACACCATCACAAAGATCATTAATTGTAAATGAGTTACGGTAGGTCTTAAAGAACATTATTCATTTCAAAACAACAGAATGGCATATTGTTTTGTTTAAATATGCAGTATTACTGTGCTTTGAGTATTGAGAGTGCAGGTACAGGGAGTGCAAGGAATTGTGATAATTCTGCCAAAAATATATAGGCTATTTTGAAATAGAGCTCAAGGGGTAATTTTTACGAGTTGTTTGGCAAGGATAGGTGATTTGGAAACCACAGAATGTTCTTTTTCTGATACTATATAGACATCAAAATGTGATTCTGTAGAAGCTAAATGTGTCATTCTTTTTGGCGTTGCTTCCTTGCCTCTGTGTCAATTCCTAGCTGCACTTTTCATCATATTCTTCAGATAGGCCTACAATTTAACAATCAATTAATATTCTCAACCATCAGACTATTGTCAATTTAATTTCATCTTTAGGCTAACTCTATTATTAGCCTATATATCAGCAGCGCGCAGGCAGAGCAGTCTTACAGCCGCCTGAAGTTGATTACAACTTTTAAATAAAGCGCCTCTCTTACCTTGCAATTGTTTTTGTTGAATGAGAAATTACAGAGAATATTGATGTGGACAAAGTGATAGACAACTAGAAAGTAGCATTCTGATTTGGCCGCGTCTTGGGAGCTGGCCAGAGAGAGACAGTGCTGAAATGTTTTTTTTGTTGGTATTTTGATAATCCTGTTCATGAATCCTTGATGAATCCTGTTAAATGTGTACCTTTATAGCCTAATGTTACCCCCCTGCCCTATGTACATAGACATGGAACACTGGTCCCTTTAATAATGGAACACTGGTCACTTTAATAATGCTTACATATTCTAGTCAAGGCCATCCTATTCAACTATTGCTGTACACATACTATTCAATCCAAGTATTCTTCAGATATACTATATACTATTCTATCCACATACTATCCATAATGCCTATACAGTTGAAGTCGGAAGTTTACATACACCTTAGCCAAATACATTTAAAAACTCAGTTTTTCACAATTCCTGACATTTAATCCTAGTAGAAATTCCCTGTTTTAGGAATTTGTGGAGTGGTTGAAAAACTAGTTTTAATGACTCCAATCTAAGTGTATGTAATCTTCCGACTTCAACTGTACATCCCATCACACATACAGCTGATGTTGGAAGTTTACATACACTTAGGTTGGAGTCATTAAAACTCATTTTTCAACCACTCCACACATTTCTTGTTAACAAACTATAGTTTTGGCAAGTCGGTTATGACTTACCATGGTGTTTATACTTGCATACAATTGTTTGTGCAGATGAACGTGGTACCTTCAGGCGTTTGGAAATTGCTCCCAAGGATGAACCAGCCTTGTGGAGGTCTACATTTTTTTTCTGAGGTCTTGGTTGATTTCTTTTGTTTTTCCCATGATGTCAAGCAAAGAGGCACTGAGTTTGAAGGTAGGCCTTGAAATACATCCACAGGTACACCTCCAATTGACTCAAATGATGTCAATTAGCCTATCAGAAGCTTCTAAAGCCATGACATCATTTTCTGGAATTTTCCAAGCTGTTTAAAGGCACAGTCAACTTAGTGGATGTAAACTTCTGACCCACTGGAATTGTGATACAGTGAATTATAAATGAAATAATATGTCTGTAAACAATTGTTGGAAGAATTACTTGAGTCATGCACAAAGTAGATGTCCTAACCGACCTGCCAAAACGATAGTTTGTTAACAAGAAATTTGTGGAGTGGTTGAAAAACAAGTTTTAATGACTCCAACCTAAGTATATGTTAACTTCTGACTTCAACTGCAAATTAGTGATTAGCAAAGTGACCCTGGCTTTTTGGTGTGTTTACAATTCGTGAAGTGTGGGTTGTGCCAGAGACCGTATGGACCGTGTACACGGAGGAAGGTGGAGATGTGCCCGTCCGATTAATCAATATTAATAAGGAGCCATACGTCGGTTTTCGGAAGGGTGGAACTAAACCAGCATTTCCGCACTAGGACAGGAATGAAAAGTATCATGGAATGTAGGCCTTCATTGAACACCACACATTGGCTGCTAATGTAGGCTGAATGATAGAACTGCTGTGTCCTTGTTAAAATGTTATGGAATGCATTTTCTACATTGTTTTTGATG